ATACATATCGATCGTTTTGGTAGGAGGGTCCCCGCGGGTACCGTATGCCTAACTTTGTTTTCTTTGTGAATTAATTTCCGAAAGTTTCTGTTTATGTATAAGACTATTATTTTCTATTCGAAGTTAGAATGCCTTCCAAGTCTGCACAGGCGCCCTATTTTAGTCCGTTTGAACTCAAAACAGGACTCCAATGGGACTCTATGGGACGGCTCCCGAAAGGAATGTCTTACGTTCTATTAAGCGTTGCTTACATTTTTCCAAGTTCGCGCAGACTTACTTACTTACGAAATACATGATATGTATCCAGATTTAATCCCTATCAATGTTAGTTTATTTTGCATCATCCTAGTCATTGAATAACGAAATCCACGTTTGATGTTCACCACACGAACCCCCAATGTCAATACAAGAAATAATACAAATGGTACATTGAAATGTGCATTTGGCATAAAAGTTGTTCAAGCTTTACTCGTTGGCCATCAAACAAATCGTCTGGTTGGATTTCTATATTACACTCTCTTCTGTGTCTTTTCCCGGGCTTTCTGAATCCATTTTAGTATTCGCTCACGAACTGTGATGTGATGTTCACCCGGTTAGTTCGTTTTCATGGTGCAATCTACATAGTGGCACACAGTTAGATAATACAGCACGCTTGCCGACCACCAACTTCGCAACATAAGTAGTTTACATCCCATACTTTTTGTTAGTGCCAAATATACGCATGTAAAACTAGTTCATTGAAACAAACTGCGAGGTGATTTAACCGCTACTAAAATACACAATTTGAACGGTTTTCAGTATTTAATTTATATTTCAAGTAATTTATTCGGTTCTCTTTTCGTATTACAATAAAATTAAGTATGCACACTCCCAATGGGACTCAAATAGGACTCCAATCGGACGGTCCTAAAAAGCNGTTAGAACTCTAAGATTATTATTCTAGCTAAGTGTTGTTTGAAGAAGATAACGCAATCAATCTGTATTCCAATATGTTGGATTGTGATTCTGTATTAATGATTGTATGAATTTTTTAAAGGGATGCATATTCCTTAGTTGAGCCCAACAATCCACAGAAATAATTATATAATTATAAAATATATATATAATATATAATATATATTATATAATTATTATATTATGTAATCCCGTGCAAAACGACAGTGATGTGAGAGTCACCGTTTCGTACCCTTTTGAACAAGCTTGATGACTGTCGGGGGAAAAATATGATATATATATATATACATATGTTATATTATATGACAATTTAAATTGTCATATGATGTCGGTGGTAGTCATGACCAAGACATGCAGGTGAGGTCAATATATGTAGCTCACCCTCCCTTAAGCAGCATGCCACCATGGCTGTTCTTCGCTGAACCTCTGCGGGTTTAGGGAGCAAAATCGTCTTGTAGGTTCACCAGGTGGTTTCTTATTACACTCTAGCGTTCCTCTACGTCAGCGCGTTGCTCCGATCTGTACCAACGCAGCTGAATCGCCTTAGCTCGGAGCAGTTCCACGTTCATTCTTTCAAAGTTCCTACTGACCACCCCATGGGGTCCTGGTGGTTTCAACTGAAGTGTCATCTTGATGTGTAGATGATCTTCTTTACCGATAGGAGAAGTGCGTATTGACGATTATTGTACGAAAAAGAGGAGCAATCCACAAGGACGTTTTCCGTTCATATTTTCTTTGCAATCAACTCTGATTCAGTGATATTTCTCTCCATTTTAATTCACGGCTTGTTTTACTGAGCACAGTTTTCCGTTCAAGTGTATATATACGCTGAGTATTGTTCAAACCCACATTACACGTGTCACACGCTTTCGCTTTGCTACTACATTCATTTGCTTGCGTTGTTTAGTCGTCACGTATTCGGTACTTTTTAGTACCACGATACACCAATAAACGTGTACGACCACCACGAGTGTTTTCGTCTACCCAGGGCAACGAGATACTAGGAGGTCGCAGGAGCTACTCGAGATCCGTAAAAAGACTTAATTGCAGGCCGTCAACGTCGATTAGCTTCGAGTGTACCGTGAAACTCAACAAAATTTTGTTATTCCAGTTATCTACTGTTTCCCATTTAAATTGTTTCACCTTCTTTTCACTATGTTCTGTATCCCAATCCACCCACTATTTATTATTTGTGTGGTGTTGGCACCATGCTTTTACGCAAGCCGGTGTTAGATATTCGATATATATATATATCTTACCCCCATGAAGTTCTTCAAGGATCTGTCTCGTAAGTTTAGTGCATCAAAGAACCGCATACACGTAAGAATCGAACACGGTCTATTAGTTCCACTGCAGATTTCAATCAAGGAATAGTGTATTATAATTAAACTATGAGCTGGACGGTTCGATGGACAGTTTAGCAGTAGGTTTATTTAAAAAGAAACACGAACCGCTTGCAATAAATTGAGCAGTGTACACGTAACTGTAGGAAAACGCAAAAGATATCCGACTATTATTATGAACAGGCAACCCAATAAGCACACGGGCACAGTAAGTGAACACGTAACTAAACAAGGCGAACAGGCAGGCGAATCATCAACAACAACAACAATCAGCACGTGCTACATTTTATCAGGGTGCGATCAAGCAGACAATGAATCAATCAGCGTGGATATCTCACTCTTGAAATTCGATAGCAAATTCATTTAGGAAAGAATCATTTCAGCGTGACGTGCGCGAATAGTAGTAGTTAGTCAAGCAATAATGCAATAATGTATACATGGCAATCAACACTTCAAACAATACGACAGTGACGCGTTCTTACACATCTTGGGCAACGCATATCACTGCTCAAGATAGCAGTAAAATCACTTGATAAGTTAGTATTATGCAACTGTTTTCATTGATAGTAACTGGGTTAACAAGGTAGAACAAATTTATGGTTCAACTTTCTTTTCGGGATCGGCTTTGCATATCATATTAATCATACCTGTGATTGGTCCATTTTTGCTACTTTTCGTGTTCAGATCTCCTCAGCATGAGTTCCAAGAAAGGTGCACACCTCACCGAAGAAACGACGGTGGAGTTCAAAGCGATGTTTGACACATATGATTTTGGTGGAACGGGCAAAATATCCGTTCTGGATGTTGCACCTCTAATGCGTAAACTAGGGCTTATGCCATCGAATATTGAAATTGAGGTAAGTTCTACTCAGTTACACAGCAAACTTATATAAGACCGAAGTTTCAAATTCCAAGTATTCCAAATCTCACTACACAATTTGATGAGTGTAATCTGGATGAGTTTCCTAAAAACAAAAATTCGTCACTTGTTTGCATCGTGTTTTCAGTGGCTTTCTTTCGCGAACCAGTTTGGCAGTGTTCTGTGGATGTAAGAACCGATCAGGTGGACAAAAGTCAGTGGTACACATTACCGAATGAGGTGTTTTCATGATAAATATCTGCCTGAGAAACGCTAGATGAGGTGGGCTTCATGAATATGATCTACTGTTTCATTATGGGGATCAGCGAAAGTTGAACTCAGCTCTCGATCGTAAATTTCAGGTTGCTTGGCTTATTCATGGCTGGTGGTTCTACCGTTGTTTGGGGCTAGTGCATTACATAATTCGCCAGTTGAATAAGCCGCTAACTATCCTCCCAAAATTTAATATAGAAAGCATACAAGCATTTTACTCAGAAGCTTCGAAACGAAATACTGATTTGTCCCACCTGTTTCTCCAATCCTCATTAGTCCTATCTATTACCGAGACTCAAAACCCGTTTTCCAACAAAAACCCATCTTGTCTCAAAACTGCCATCTGCAAACAACTTCATCCAAACAACGACTAACCAATAGATGCCATTCAAAGTCAAAGTTTTTTCATGGGAATTACTTACGAGCTCATGCTTCTCTTGTCCCCATAAGATATTTACACAACTGAATCGTATCACGGCGAAAAACATCACATACAGTATCAGGTAGGAGATTAAAGAGAATGTAGGCTTCAATGAATTTGCGTTTGCTTTAATGGTGTAAGAATGTGAGGTGTACCAAGGTTTCATCGAGCCTCAGCTTGAAAGATTCAATAGTTGGTGCACAAACGACGTGAAATGGAAGGGTGTTCCAAGTACTGCATACTCTGACTGTAAAAGATTGACGCCGTCATTGCAGTCGACACTTTGGAATCATTGACTTGAAACGGTGTCCCCTGTGTACATTGTTCGATAAAATAAGCAGCTGCCGAAATGGATGGTTTGGGTTTACAGTATTTGATACACCAAAATCAAGTCTCTCCGAATTCGGCGGTACTGTGCAGAATATAGTCTCAATGATCGTAATCTTTCCTCATATTTGAGGCAATGCAATCCCTTGACCATCTTGGTGGCCATCCCTTGTAGGCGCTAAAGCATCTTGCGATCACGTTGCAACCATGGACTCCAAGCTTGGATGGCGTACTCTGTGTACGGTCGAATGTACACTGATAGCAAACGTGGGGACAGTGCTAATTCAAACCGACCAAAGACTCGCCTAAGTAAGCCTACATTCTTAACAGCAGCGGTCGAAGCCTTAGCGCAGTTGATCAAGCAGCTTAAATCCTCTTGAACAACAATATCTAGATCTTTTTCACTTGAAGTATGTAGTAGCTGCGGATTTCCGAGGAAATATGAGAATCTTCTCTTGTGGCCTATAAATACGACTTCACATTCACATTCCCCAAATGGATTTCCCGACTACAAACTTTCAAATTGTGATTGAGGTCTACACCCCCATCTTCCAATCACTACTTTTGTTCTGTCTACCGTACTCAACAGTGGCCACAGCTCTCCTTTCAATTCGTTGACTAAAAGCAAAAAAAACCCAATGTGCGTTGATCTCAAGTAAAAGTTCACCATCCTTGGAGATTTCAATGTCTCCAGCAAAGACCGGCCTACACCCTCCGCGGAAACGGCTTCCATCAGGTGTGAAATGAAATCACTTGCTGTGGTTCACAAACGAAGTGGTAATTAACTGCTCCATGTGTGACCCCGACCGCACTAAAGTCCATCTGCACACTGTTCACTTTTTGCTTTCATTCATTCTATCGTCTTTCACAAGAATGAACAGAACACTGGCTAATTTCACTCTCTATTCAGTTCACACGTTCTCACCCCCACACACTTCCATTTTTTTGGTTTACCGGATTTAAACATTAAATAATCTCTTTTTACTTCGTTTTTATTTATTGCATATACAAATGTACAGTCAACATTCAGGAGGGGAGGCCGTCGCCATACAAGGTTGCCTGGGACGACGGTGGAGCGGTTCGAATCCGGGACTTATAGGTCACAAGTTGGTGACCTAACCACTTAGCTACCACCACCGAAGTGGTAGTGCTTTCCATGAAGTCCTAAGCTCTTACCCTAGAAATGACTGTTGCCTTAATCACGGTTTCAACAACTGCCTCGGAGACTGTTGTTGAAGTACTGAACCCTATCATGTCCAAGTCTACGAAGCCGAGAGACCACAGTGACTCAATCACGTCTGTTGCCATGCTCTATGCTTGAAGGACACAGCTTTCTACAATTGGCAGCACTCGCATACTTCACAGTTTTGCACAAATTCGGAAAATTCTTTACTGGTAAATAAAGCAAAAGAACATTTCACCCGTCGAAACGGGGAACAATGGTAATTCTCTGTAACCGGTAACCTAACATACTTGCCCATTGTCAAGGTAGTATCCGGCAACTGATGTACCTCTTGACATATATATATAGTGGCTCGGTGGTAATGTCACCAAATTATCACCCCGAGGATGTGTTCAAATCCCATCATCATCTGACTTTCTCCCCGGTGTCGGATGGCAGTCCTTAGATTCCGCTTCCTCCTTCCCGGAAATTGCATTTTTGTATATTCAATAAAAAGAAGTAAAATGAAAAGAAAAAGAATACATATTCGATTATTACGCACAAATTTCTGTACGATCAGGTTTTTGATATTTCTGAACCTATCGCTTAGGGATCACGACGGCGTTAATTCTAGATATTGCCGTTAATGTAAATAACACTGAATCATTTGACAGGAAATGGTGATCG